TCAAAAGAGAACGTAAAATTCAGTTGGCTTATACATGGGGATCAACCTATCATCAGAACAATATAGTTCTACATTACAGAGCAGATCCCCTTAAGGCTGCAGTGGGCGGTGGCCCTTAAGGGGTTTATGCTGGGTTATTTGTCCTGCTTGCTTTAACTGTGCCACACGGGGTCATCTGATCCATCATGATGGCAAAGAAGTAGCAAGCTCAGTTAACACAAGAAAGAGTCACAATAGCTGGCTAACTAAGATTGCCACAACCCTACAGTTCCCTGTGGGATCTCCCTGGCTTTTATGAAGGTAGAAGCTCAGAAGTTCTCAAAGCCCTATATAAAATTGAAGTATCAAGATGGTTTCAGGTTGGATGCAAGAAAGAACTTTTTTACGGTAAGGGTGACCAGAATCTGGAATAGACTTCCCAAGGAGGTGATGCAGTCCCCAGCCTTAGAAGTCTTCATGAGGAGACTGGACAGACACCTTGCTGGAATCATTGGTTCTCAGCAGTATTCCTGCCCAGAACAAGGGTGTTGGACTCTATGATCTTCCAGGGACTCTATGTCCCTTCCAGCCCTTGATTTCTTATGATTCTATGATTCTGTGACCTCTGGGCTTCAAGCCTCAAATCTCTACTTCTGAAGCATGGCATGTGGTAGCTCACCACCAGGAAGCATGAAACAGCCTACAAGGTGAACTGGTAGGAAGCCATCCTGTATGGATACCCTGTAGGAGGATGGATGTTCAAAATAATTAAAATAGGCTTTAAATGAGTCTTTAATTTTCTTTGTTTGTTTGTTTAACAGTGGAGGGTGAATTTATTATTTGGAAAAGACTTATAAGCCTGAACATTTCTGGCACAACACTAAAATTAAATATAATTTTTTAATGTTCACACTTTTAGTGCCTTTAACCCTTTGGTTCCTTTCTATTCTCCTGTGGGATGTTGTAAGAGCAATAGCAGCTTAAGGACTTTATCTGCAGTTTATTTATATTTAGAGAAAGAAAAACAAACAAACTGCTTTTCCTAAATTTGAACCTGAAAATGTGGAAATAACATATGCAATGTTGATTTATAATCTGAACAATATGGTACTAATGGCTTGTCTTTGCATTGAAAAACTATGCAATCAACCCCTTCTGTTGTATAAGGCAGTGTATGCCTGGTAAAGTCATGCTAGCTTGTCAAACAAAATAAGCACTAGTGGGACAAATGTCCTTTTTTGCTGTATACCTGCATACACGTGCTATATTTATTAGCATCATTTTGTCAGCTAGGGGAGAAATATTTTTCCCCACACCAGATTGAGAAGGGCAGACCAAAAATATTCTACAAACCAGGCCTCCACCATAAGATTCAGCACACAACAGTAAGGGTTCTTCTCTGTTTTTGCCTCATGCTTGCAGCTAGAAATGGTGACATTGCAGCCCTTCAGAATTGTATGGATGGACAAGAAGACAGGCTAACTGGTGGCAAAAAATGTTAGTGCCAAATGTTAGTGCAGTGCCAAAACACCAGATGACAGAGTCAAGAGAGCCCATTACCGGTCATTTTAGGGCTAGGGTAAAGTGTGCTCTGGGGAGCACAGAGATGAACATAGCCCATCCACCTAAGTCTACTGCCACACTACAAAGCCAGAAGTTTTCCAGATGGTCTTCATTCTGAAGCAACTTGAACTCAGAACTTCCATTTTTTCTAACTAAGTGCCTTCAGCCCCAGGCTACAACAGGGTACTCCCGAGGGCACCTTTTCCACCTTTCCTGTTGAAAATGCTCCATTTTAAGACTTAGTCAAGCAGGCTCCAGAACCCAAGTCACCTTCTTTTCTAAAGGAGCATCTTAACCACCAGGACACAAGATCAATCTCACAAACAGCTATACACACAAACTCACTTTCACTCTTGCCCGAAGAAGAACAATATAACAGGAAGGACTGACAAAGGCCCAACCTAGAATGCCCTCTAGCCTGGTGATCTCTGCCTACCCAAGGGCAGGGGTGTCAAATTCATCAGATCCCATAGGCCAGATGAGTGTCATGGGGCCAGTCCACAAGACTAGCTCTATATGTCGGATCCAGCATGAAGGGCTGATCTGGCACAGGCACCACATGCAGTGGGTGTCCTACACTGGTCTCCCATGGTGCATGTGGCAAATGAGTCCAGTCCAATTCCAATGGGCAGCACTGTGGGCCAAATCTGGCCCAGGAGCTATATCTTTGACACCCTGGCACTAGTGTTAGGAAAATCTTCAGCAAAAGCCAGATTTTAACCTGAATCTTCCATCTGAAGGAGGTTGCAGTGGGGAGATGGAGATGGCCTCACCCAGAAGCCATATTTCTTTCTGCCTGGCTCAACAAATCTATAATTAGTGCAAAGTGAGGCAGTTTCAAGGGGAGAGACTGACAGCATTATCTCAATGTGACTCTAGGACTAGAGGGTTAGGGCAATCTCTATAACGTTGGGTGTTAGGGGTTTAAATGTGCCCTGGCTTATGAAGGTTCCTAATGGGATTCTTATACCTCTTACATGTAATAGGGGCAGCATCTGCTATTTAACTCTAGGAGAAGGCTCATGGTTGAGAGTTTTGGTTTGAGGTAAGCACCTCTGTCAAAGTAAGACACCTAAACCCCAAAGATGGCTAGGGCTAACACCACACAGTTCTTTACACTTGGAGATTATTGCATGAAGAAAAAATAGATAGTATATGTTGAAAACAGATACCACTCCCATTAAAATAGATGGCAGTATATAAAGATGAATTGTCTGTGTGCACACATGGGCACTTTACAGGTGTGACTACATAAAAGCCTGATGTGAAGTAATGAAATGAATTACACTTCTGTTGGAGATGTCAATTTCCTTTGTTCCGTTCTCAGCCGCTATAGCAGGAAGGAACATTAAACATTTCCCTGGCTAGTCATAGAATTGTAGAAATTACAGCTAAAACAGCCCTATTAGGCGAGTTCTTGCCAATGCAAGATTATTCCTTATTGTACATTTACTACTACTTTGTGCAACGTAGTTTTAAACATCTCAAATGATCTGGTTTTCACTACTCCCCTGTGGGAATGATTCCATAATGTACTCAGTCTTAAGGAGGTTTTCCAAGCAGCCAAGCTCCATTTTATTTCTTCATTCTATGCCATCAATCCTAGCAGTGCCCTTCTGCACCAAGGTAATTGTCTCCTCATCTTTGACAGACACATCATTCAACTATCTGCACTTATGTCTCCACATCATTGTTTGGCCAAGTTATTCAGGTTCAGCTTTTAGTCTCTCATTACAGTCTTATTTCCGCACAGCCTCCACCCCTTTTTTTCAGCTCATTAATATATTTTGCTGTTATTCATTGAACTGCCTCCAAATCTTGACCTCTCAGTTTCTCCTGTAGCAACATAAATGCAGCGCAATGCTAAGCACAAATATAAATGCATCTCCAGGCAGAGCTATAGCCAGTCACAGAATAATTTTTGCTTTGGTGTATGCACTTGCAAAGACTGGGAGGAGGAAGCTTGAGGATGGTGTGGTGTGACCCACCCATAGCCGTTAAATGCCATTATCTAGGTTTGACCAGGCTGCAGAAGTATAGTCAGAGGTATAATAGGAAAATTCTGTGCCCTGGGCAGTGGCAGCATCAGGGAAGCAGCCTTTGCTGAGCTGCTAGTGGGTTGTTCTACTAGTTATTTTCTTTAAAAAAAACCTCTGAGCTGTCTTCAAATTTTTCACCTAGAAAACAACTGAATTACTAGCTGGTATTTCCTACATTTTAGTTTTGCACAATTGGAAGCAGATATTTTGTGAAAAATACTTGTTAGTTAATATATTTACCTATCTTTCTTTATGGCAAAAGGAAAGAAGATAGAAGAAGTGATGCTCTGGCCCTTGTTTCTTGGTCCACCGCTAGCAGGAAGTGGAGCAGATCTTCTTGTCAAGAAGAGAGGTAAGTGAACTCCCAGTGGGAGAGCTATAATGTTCCCCTGCTGGAAGGAATATGGGAGTCTCATGCACTTGTGATACGTGATCCTCTACCACAACAGTCCTCATTTCATCACCCAACAAATGATGGGGATTTGGGGGCAATGGTACTCCACTGGCATCCACAGCAAAAATCTAATGAAACAACCCACATCGGAATCATCCACTTACTCTACATCATAAATACACATGCCTCTTGCACTCCACCTGGCTGCATACAACCCTTTGTTGAGTGATCACTATCCATTTATTATCAACCCTATCTTCTTTGCCAATTACTTCCTATTGCCTTTATTTACCAGTGTTAAAAAATATTTAAGATAGTCTGCAAAATGCACAAGACAGAAGGGAGGCTTCTTTCACTCTTAACCTATGTCCGAGCACCTCAACGAACAAAATGCATATCTAACAGGTAAAGATTTAAGTACAAAGGAAATGACACTATAAGAATTTTCATTTCCTATGTTAAAACTCATAAAAAATGAAGCCTTGCCCTGTTACTCTGCTTTTACTGTTCTGAAGCATAAGATTGTGTGAAAGGTATCTCTACATCAAGCTCTCCTGGAACCAAACACACATCTCTTATTTTCTCAAGTGGAGAAGTACATTACTTGAAACAGAGACAGGATGAAAATGAGCTGTGCTACAGGGATTTAGGGCCCAACATTGATTGATGCTGGTGTATAAATATGATACAAGCAAAGCATAAAAAATGGCTTAGAAGCAGATACAGCCCATGCAAATCTCTCTGGGATCTCTGAGAATGCTACTCAGGTATTGCATGCTAATAAATCTCCAATGGCTTGTCATCATTCTCTGTCATTGGTTTGTCTAGGTTTTTTGAGAAGCAGGGTCATGCCAACAAATGTTATGTCCATCAAAAGTCAACAAGGCATCTTTCTAAGCTGTCCACTATATACATCCTTTATTTATGTATAAATTGTTCTATCCATCTATGAGTGGCAGAAAGATTGTCTGCATTGGACTTCCCTCTAGTGGAAGGAAAGTCAGTCTTGCTTAAGTCAGAGTTACCTTGTCTTCCAGCAGTTTTCATATAGAAGCTAAATCCCAAACACTCAATCAGCTATTCAGGACCCTCAGGTAACAGAAGCTTTCCAGGCCCATGTCCTTGGAGCAATGGGTCTTCGGTTCTGGACCCAGCATTGCCACTTGACCATGTTACTTGGTTGACTTTGGTATCACAAAGCTCCTGTGTCCATCTAATTATCAGAGACGAAGTGGTTTTATGAGTATCACAACAATGAGAAGGAAACATGTAAGTGATCGCTTTAAACATAATCGTAGGAAAAGGAACATTGTCAAAGAATTATGTAGACATATATAAAAAGGAAAACCACACCCAATTTGGCTTTATATTCCAGTCCCTCCCCTCAAAAGTGGCTTCACACCTACTCATCCATGAAAGAGAGGTATGACATTTTTGCTGAAGACGGAAGTAATTTTATTTTAGTTACTACCTGCAATGAATTTTAAATAAAGCCATGGGAGCTCTGGGATGGCTGACTCTGTCTGCATGAGACACACTATACTGCTAAGAAAAAAAATCCCGCCAAACCCACTAGGCCCCCTCAGGGCTCCACAGGCAGCCAGGAAGACCAGCCGATGAAAGCACTTTTTGACAGATGTCGCGTCACTGTTAACATGGCTCATATACAAAATCAACTCCAGTCAGAAATCATGTATTAGGAACACGTTGATGCCATTTAAAGATGAAACTAGTGTGTGTGTATTCCCCATGCTTAGTGGCCCACTTTGACAAAGTGATCCTTGAAAATGTAAATAAGTCTCTTATTTACTTGCTTTTCTGTTTAGTAGTCGGCGGCTGTCAGAGTCTGCCTCGCACTTTCTTGCTGAGAGAAAGAGAACAAGTACCTGATCAATAATATTTCAAAATGTTAAGTAAACTTCTTAAAGGGCCACATTCTGTTCCAAAACAGAGCTGTCTACTTAAACCAGATATGACCCTTGGAGCTTTTATCCCACTATTGTAATATCAACTATAGTCTCATTCCAAAGTAGAGCCAACGATGTTCCTTTTTCTTCCTGAATTCTTTTTTTATATTATACCAATAATTGACTGAATTTCTTTGTAAAAGGAAACAATTAATTAGCTTGCACTTCCCATGCACAAAGTCTCTCTCTCAAGATATATTTGTACTCAGAAGGCAAAAGAATCCCCCACCAACCCAGGTTTCCATGGTTATAATATCCCAGGACAACCTTCTTTCCAAAGGCATTCTTCTACCTCTACTCCCACCTTGCTCTAAAGCAGCTGCTTACAGGTTTTGTCCTATGGCTGCTCTATCATCACTACAGCTCCATCATAACTAACAATAGCAAAAGCACTAGCATTGACCAAGAAGAAATGGCTTCATCATTGTTTTCAAATCCTTTTAAATCTAGAGTAAGTCCTCCCACAGTTGCAGGCTTTCCAGAAAGGTTTTGGGATGGGATCTAAAGTTAATTTGTTTAGTTGGGACCAACCATTCCAGTACATCTCCCAGAGCACTTGCTGTACTCTAAAGCTTTTATTGTACTGCTTCCGTCTTGATCATGTTAGCTATTTTAGGCATCTTCCAACATACTTCTTTCTCTCACTTCAAACCTTACCAAGAAAGCTAAGAGCATTTAGTCCCCTAGTTGAGTGTAATAGTCTATAGTAATTTGTGTATGTAATACATTTTTCCACTCTAACCTACAGTGGAAAATTCTTTTTGACAACCTGTACTGAGTTTAATTGAGCTGTGTCATATGCCATTAGGTAAAGCTTCACATTTAGCAAGCAGTAAAGTTTCCTTTACATAGTAGTTGCATCTAATTTTTACAGTTCTTATTCTATATAAAATAGCAGTATTGCTTAGTCTTAGCATTTAAAAATAACACAAGGCACAATGATAATTAAGCTCCAGATATCTCTCATATGCACTTCCTTTCCCATGTGTGTGACCCAGGATGTACTAGGTATAATGTGATTAAGTGTGATGACAAAAATATCACTTCAGTAAAAAGCTATGTAAGCCTCAATACATATGACAAAGCTGTGAAAATGGCTATTTCCATGCCATTAGCTTGCCTGCCTCCATTTGTTTCCCCACAGAATTTCTCTGTTGTGAATTACCTGGCCTGTGGGAACTTCAGTTGAAAAACATGCCTAATTTAATTCCCAAATAAGCTATGTTTTTGGTTTTCCATTTTAATTTCCACAGGGCAAATAAAATTGATGGAAAGCATTATGCCAAGGCTATTGTTCTCATCCAGTTGACTTTGTAGCCTGCGATGACTCCAGATTTGCATATTACCTTAAATGTTTCTGGGACCAGATGTTATTGGGTCTTTCCATCAGAGCAAAACATCTGCACACATTGCTTGCCTCCATTATCCTCCTAGGTTCTCAGATACTGCTGGCAATACCAATGCAGCACACCTAGCATCTTTAATTGTGGCATAGCTTCCCCACCCCCAAGAGATAGAGCAGGGTTGTGGAAGCTCACACAGCAGAGGGACAACAGAACAGCATCACCACCCATGGCATGGAACCCAGCCTCACAGGGGCACCTTATACATCCCCACTTTTGGGACTGAGGTCCATCACTACTTGAAGTCATCAATCACTACATTCCTCTGTGACAGACTATTTCTGTGACAGAAATAGGCAGTGATGCAGGAGGGAGGGAGGGAGGGTCTGTGTAGCAAGCTGCCACCCAGGAGGTCTTGTCATGTGTGGGGGTGGTCCTCCAGGGCAGCAAGAATATCCACAGGAAGAGCAGCTTTCACTGCAGCCAAGAGGCACAAAGCAAAGCAAACGAAGTTCAGGCTCAGCCAGTTAGCCACAGCTTTTGCCAAGAGCCAGGTAGACTAGGTTGAGTCAGTGTGATGGTGTATTACCAGGACAAGAAAGCAATGCCATTTCCAGAGTCTGGAATAAGAAGTCAAGATTGACTCAGTCAAAGGTATTCTCTTGATTCAAGGCCAGTGGTCAGGTCAAAGAGCTCTGGGGCTGCCAGCAGGTCAGGCAGCAGAAACAGGTTATCTTGAATAACTCTACCGGGCATGTAGTGGCTCTTGCTCAGGGTCTACAACTGAAGCCATGACTGTTTTGAGCTGATATACCCGTTCTTAATGTCACTGATAACCCCTTTCTTTGGCAGCAGTACAAGGACTGCTCACAAGAAGCTGACCAGTAGGATCCCATCTTCAAGGCTCTCTTGGGAAACGCGCAAGATGTCCAGCCTGAGGAGGGGCCAGAAAATCTTGTAGAATTTGGACAATCAGTCAAAGCCTGGCACCTTCCCTGTGGCAGGGCCTCAATAGCAGTGGTCAGTTCTGCCAAGTTCCTGTTTGAGTTTGTCTGCCTCAGACACAGAGCTTGGGGAGGCCCGCATGCAGGTACTGAATGGCCCTGGGCAGGCAGGCTTGTCTGCAAACCACTTCATGTAAAAGCTAACAGCACACTCTCAGATCTCAGAAGGGCCCCTGAACAGTTGATCCCCATAGGGTTTTAAGGTGGCCGGTGATCTTTTGTTCTGCATGCTTTTTCTCTAGGTTGAAAAAGAACCAGATTGCCTCTGGACACTCTTGGAAAGAGGCTTGAGTTTGAGCATACCTTCTCCTGCACTTCATTGGGCGTTGTTACCATATTTACTTGAGTAAAAGATGACGTTTCCCCCACCCCACCTTTAACAGAGGGAAAACTCTCCATCTTAGAATCAAGTATGAGGTCGTGAGGGACAGAGAGCTGCTGTGGCTGTATGAGCTCTAGCACCAACCATGTCTCCAGGCTGGAGCCAAAGTTGCTGCTTGCCCTTCACTGCCACTCCTCTCCTGCAGCCTCAGGCCCTTGCTGTACCCCATCTCTCCACTATGCCACTTCTCCCTCCACCTCCCACCACCACACTCCCCCTTACCTTTGCCAGCAGGCTCTGTCCTTGCTGCTGCCTGAAGCACAGAGCACAGACTCAGCCTGACCCTGTAGCAGCTGTGCTATCTCCATGCCGCTGCTACAGGGTGGGGCTGGAGCTGGAGCTGTGCTCAGTGCTCCAGGTTGCAGTGTGCATGGAGCCCATCAGTGCCATAGCAAAAATAAGGGGCAGGTAGAGGGGCAAGCGGCAGATACTTTGGCAGGGGGAGATGGGGAAAGGGGGGATGGGAACCCAAAGCTGGCAGGGCAGGCACAAGGGCGAGGGGCAGCAGAGAGGTTACCAAAGCTTTATTTTTGGCTTAGCAGAAAAGGTATGTGTGAGTCGGGGAGGGAGGAAGGGTGAGGAGATGCTGAGACAAAAAGTAAAAACTACTAAAAGACAGGGTTGGGGGGAGAAAATCAGAGACAAAAGACAGAATGCAGCTCTGGAGAGGTTGACAGTCAAGGAGCACAAAGCACAGCAGAAGACTTCATAGACACTAGGGCTGGAAGGGACCTTGTAAGATCATCGGGTCCAGCCCCCTGCTCAAGGGGCAGGAAGTCAGCTAGGGTTAAAGGATCCCAGCAAGATAAGCATCCAGAAGTGTCCAGAGGAGGTGCCTGCACCTTGGGGGCTCAGACGGCAAAGAAGTTTTTCTTTAAGGCACTTTTGAAAATTATTTTAGGAAATACCTTAGCAGAGCTGGGAGAAGAGCTGGGTGGTATCCTGAGAGAGGTATCTTGAGAGAGAGAGAGAAGCCAGAGAAGAGGATCCCGAGCATTTTGTGGGAAGAGAGAACAGCAAGGGCTCTTTTACCTGTCAGAGACTGCCTGGGGAGCTAGGCTAATCATTGGGGCTCAAGGACTCTGCATGCTGTATTCCAGTTGACTGGAAAAGGTTGGTTTTTTGCTTGAGAGGCCTGCCTTTGCTCCATGTGACTTTAGATGCACTTAATTCCATGGAAGAACTGAAGTCCCCCTCCAGTTTTTCCAGAACATAGCCCTCTGACAGGATCATACACAACTGGGATGCAAAGGTTCATGGACCCAAAACCCTGGTCTTAAGAATACCAGGAGCCAAGGACTCACCCACTCCAGAAGCTACCTCTGGACTGCCTTCTGGGGAACTCAGAGACTATGTAAGGCTGAGGATGGGTTTCTTTTCTGTCCACCGATCTAGAAACGCTTTGTGCATAATCTAATGTATACAATAAAAGCACCCCAGTGCAGTAGTGAGGGAAGGAGGGGTGAAGGGCTAAAGTTATGGTTTGGCAAGTTCAGACTGACACATCAACCGTTCAAACTACTTATATTCACCTCCAAAGCCAAACTTACCTGATAAATAGCTTAGTAAATTCCTATTAAATGAAAGCTAAATATCTGTTTGGCATCTATAGAAATTACTGCCACTGCCTCTAATTCTCATCTCCCATGAGGTGCAATTAACCTCCTGAGGTTATTTCACTCATGCATGCTGTATGTAAAATCTTCCTGGAAACAGATTCTGAGATTATTTTGTTGTGTAGTATAAATGGCTCCCTAACATTTAGATCAGGGGCCCTCAAACTTTTTTGACAAAAGGCATCTCCATAACTTTTGTGAACAGAGCAACAGCTAATTTCTAAAACTAATTTACTACAGGGCTTACTTCCTCACACAGGGCCAGGCAGGAGGGTGCTTCCCTCCTTAGACCCTGCAGCACCCTTCAAAGGATTTCAAGCCACCCTACTTGGCCTGCGGCACCCTTCAAAGTCTGCGTAACCCTACTTGAGAATCATTGATTTAGATGTTGCTCAGCTGTAGCGATGAATTCTGTAAATGTTTTCAGCACAGGAAGTGCTATCATCTGGGTTACACAGGGGACTGGACTGCATGACCATAAAAGACTTTGTTGGCCTTACAATGTATGAATGAAGGGTTGTCAAGCAGCCTGCTGCTTGATGCATATAAAAGGCCTTGGAACTAGCAACAGACTTATGGATCTGTAACTAGCAGCAATATGAATGCGTGCATGTGCGTATCTCACACACACACACACAGATTATAAATTTAATACATATATCTTGAAATGACTAAATAAAAAATGTAGTCATATTTTAGAGCAGTCTTTATAATTGTATTATTTTTGCCTTTTCTTCCCCTGCTGTTATAAACCACATAACTCAAATTGCTTTAGGGCTATTTCAAAATAACTCCCCAATGAAGCAGACAATATCGATTATTTCTTCTTCCTAATGTGTGACTATGGAACTGCATCAAGTTCAGCCCATGAAGGCTGGGAATTCACTGGGCAAAGGCAGCCAATAAGCTCTATAGCAGATAACCTTGAACGTTTTCAGGGCAAACTGCTCTCACCCTATCTATGGCAACAGAAGTTTAGAGAAGCAGTAGAAGCAAGGCAGCTCGACTGCAGGCAGTCGAGAGTCTGTTTCAGGCAATGGGACACGGTAGGGAATGATGGTATATTAATCCCATTCTGCCTCAATAGGAAAGCCTGAAGGCGAGACTACATCTTAAGAAGCAGGTGTGAAAGACATGTACAACATTCTCACACTGGAGATTGCAACTGTGATTATAAAATATGAGTTTAAAAAATAAAACTGACAGCATACACACAATATCCAGGGGCTCATACATTTAAACACTGTATATGTATATAGCTTTTTTGCATTATATAATTTTTTTTAAATTTAACATTTTCTTATTGCAAGAAGTCTTAAATTGCGGCTTATAAAGAACTGGCTGAATACAAGATGCTGACCTTCCTAGTTTTAAGCTACTATATGCCATACTATGTCGTAAGCAGCCAGGTCTGGGTTCACTTGGGGATTGAGGTGCCAACCAGGGTTGGGAGGAATGAGGAGCCATCTGAGAACAAGTTTAGGGATATGCTGAGTCAGAAAGCTAGGGGATCAGGCAGAGAGCTGAATCAGAGAGAAAGCTGGCTTGAGAAACCAGGAGGAGATGGAGTTGAGCACAGGTTCTAGGAACAAGCAGAGTCGGATATCTGGAGATCAGGCAGACAGCAGACAGAGAGCAAGCTAGGTTAGTAAGCCAGGAAACTAAGCAGAGAGAAGAGCTAGAGCACAAGGTGGGGGGAATAGCAAAGCAGTCAAAACAAACCCTGCTGCCCGCTTCCTGTTCTGGGTCAGGGATTTGTATGGGGGAAGCAGAAGTTCTACTGATCCCAACCAACCACTGTAGTGCCAATGAATGGTCAGAGGGCTAGGCCTCGCTGGAGGTTTCAATACAGCCTTGACCAGACTGGGTGACCAGCTGTAGGGTGGGAGGCCAGGATGAGTGTCCATGCTGGTCAGGTCACGGCTCCCTCTTTGAGGAGATGGCCTGGGCACTACATTACATTAAAAAATTAAAAAACACACTGATAACTTACTCTTCCATGTAATAAATTCCTTTTGTTGCCATGGGAATGCTTTGGGATTGCAGAGGAGAGAGAAAAGTTGTCAGCAAATTGTGAAAAGTGTCCACAGGACAAATCTCTGTATTGCAGCATAACCCACACTATGAAACAGCTACAAAAACGCAGCGGTATAATATACAATATTGAACTGGCTACACTAAATAGAAATCAGAACTGCTCAAATTGTCTTATGCTTTGTACTGTTAACCAAGATGTTCTTTAGCTCAAATGCTGTCCTTTTGAGCAGTAAGGCCTGAATCTATTCCTGC